ATCATACTAAGAAGTAAGACTACTGTGACGACGACACACGCTTTAAAACTGGCGCCACAAACACTGTAATATAGCGATTTCTTGTTACGTTTCATCCATTAGCCGCACTGTGTCACTAACTGACAGATTGATTCAATTTATTATCATATCAATATAAACTTATATTGAATTGATAAAAAAAAAGATAAATGTGCTCATCATTTATAAGACTTGATTTTTTCAAATTGTTTTTATATACTTTACTAAAAATATTTATAAATTTCTATTTTGATGTATTGAGATTTTGTATAATAAAATAAATATAGAATTTGTAAAAAAAAGAGAAAAAAAAGCAATAGATATGATTCCGCAGAGTAAAAATTCTTCTACGATTAAAAATTAATTATAAAATACAAACTTTTTGTTAAATCAAAAGTGTTAATATACATACAAGTAATAAATAAGAATTTAGAATTTTATCAAGAATAAATATTCAAAAATATATTAATACTTTGCAAATCTTCCTAATAAATAACTAGTTATACAAATATTTGTAATTATGGTTTATTGGTATTATACTCTACATGGCAATCTTAGCCAATTATTCGATGCACAGGTTGAATCAACGCGTTACATAGGTTTTGCGAAAAGGATACAGTCGGTATCCTGACCTGTTCGTAAAGTGGAGGGGGTCTCCAATGATGAACACGACGCCATTAACTGTACGTCCATCGACGCGTGTATGGCACTGTTCGTCAGTTCTGCTGTTATTCCGAGGCGATTCGAGCATTCGAATCTTGGTGACCGTGGCGGAAGTCGACGTTTGCGGAAGAAATTCGATTGAAATTATTTTTCTTACCTGTACCTCCAAGAAATCGTAAGTACAAGCGAAAGAAGCACGATGTTTGAAAATGGCTTGGTGCTGATGTTCGATGTGAATTTAATGCACGTCGCATCGTGTGGCAATGGAGAACGCGCGATTGTTATTCAATATCGCGCCAAACGACAAGTGCTGTGTCTTATTTAAAAATTGTGACTGTATTTTAAGTTTCCTATACGTGCTTGGCAATTTTACATAAACAAAATTCAATGCTTGAATCATTCCGCTTCTTGTAACATGAGCCTGCAACGCTATTAATTATCCGCGCACTTTGACACATCTTCGACATCGGCGTTTAGGAAAGTATTGCAAATGAATATTGATGCAATTTTTCGGATGTGGTATTAATTTTGCGCATCAGGATAATTTCGTTTTAATCTCGATAAAGCTTTTACTTGTAATTCCCTTCGTATGTGTTTACGTTGGTAACTCTGGTGCGCGTCGACGCCCAAGTTTTGCGACTGTCGCTCAATAACGTCATCGTGATCAGTGTAATTAAAGCGCGCTTTACGTTTTCTCATATTCGAATTTTTATTTCAGTGAACAATGGCGATCGTGGAATCTTATTGGACACCATGCGTTTGGTCAAATAGTGTTAAGACTGGCTGCAAAGCTATAGCGTTTTACACAGTGGTGAGTGTCTTTTAATCGACTAAGAAATTCTATAAAATCACAATATAGTATAATAGTGTTAAAGTATATCTAATATTATTTTAACATCTTGAAATTTACTGTACAAGTATAATCAATAATTACTTCCTTGCAGGCAATTAGTATAGTGCTTATTACACTAATATCCTATCAACTAGCTGGTGGCGATTCCACGCAGCTGTATAATCCGTTATTCGAAGCTGATGTAAGGGGATGTAAGTATGATATTGATCATGTATAATAGTGCTGCAGAAATGAATATAAATTTTAGAAAGTTAAACTAATGTATTATTTCTCGGATTTTTTTTTACGAAAATTATTAAAACTGTAATATTTGACTTATTATAAATGACTCACGTAAAAAATATTTAATTACTAGTTATTAATTTAATTAATTAAATTCATTTAAGTAGTTACATTAGTTTATAATTAATTTAATTATTTACATTAAAGTATGATAGATAGATATTAATTCATACTTTTTTAGCAATAATACAAAATACAAGACAATTGCAATTTGAAATTAAAAGTGATATGATTAAAAGTTCTTAAAAAATCTATTGGCAAATGTATGCGACTATTTAGTGACGTATTCAGATCAACGAAATTTGAGTTTCCTTTCTGTTTAATACAAAGCTAATTCTTGGATATAATGCAAATAGTCAAAGTAACTGAATAACTGTTTGTTTAAACGAAGCCAAAAATCTTTTGCATTATCTGATTATAAGTATTATAATATAATTTTATTTCTAATATTCCTCATATTATACAATATAATATGTAATATTTTGAAGAAAAATATGTATCATGTAATTATCATATTAACTAAAATTACTAAAGCTGTTAAAATAACTGGTTTGTAATCTTTTATAAAAAATTATTTAAATTTTTAACGGTGCATTTCCTCTGATTTTTATTGCAATAGATATATAATTAAGTTAATCAAATTTATTTTTCTTTTTTAAAGATATGTATATTCCCCTTTTTTAAAGATATGTATACTCAAGCAGAAATTATTCATACTTCTAATCTTAATTATAGATTTACTATTACAAAAATCTAATACTAACTAATTTAATACTGGCCAATTTATTACTGAAGAATTAATTATTATAGTTACTTATTTGGAGTATATTAAAAGTACTAAATAATAGTGTTTTTATATTTAAAATAAGTAATTAACCGTCCAACAGCATGGGTCATTCGTGTCCAAGCCATTTCTAACAGTTCTTATATTTGCGTAATTTTTATAATTAAAAAAATTTTTTTTTTTAATGTAGAATAGCAGAATAATTTAATAGAGATCTTAAAGAACATGTGTGAATTTTTACAGAATTTTTCCAGAATAATCCATGTGTGTCGCTTTAAAGTGCTAAAAATATGTGTGCCATTCCAGGATTAATTACTGTGTCTCAATATTGACTAGTATTAAATTTCTGTAAGAGTATTAATATTAAACTTATTGCTTAATTCTAGTTTATAAACTTTTAACTTTTACAGCCATACCTTGCATTCTATTAAAAACAATAAGAGACGCCTGCAATTTTTAGCTATGCAAGTAGTCGGAGGCTTCCTCATCTTCTATCTGCTTCTGTTAATCATATGCGCCTTGTTAATGATTTACGGCGTAAAAGAAGGCGTGCGTGGATGGTTATTGCCATGGCTCGTTGGATGGTTCATCGTTTGCTTGTTCCAGTTAGCCTTTGGACTGTGGCTTTTAGGCGGTTATTATATTTATGTGAGCTCCTCTTTTCTTTATTTCGGCGATGACTGTTTCAATCGCAATCATATCATTTATGTTTCTATTTCAGTTGGATTCTGTATTTGCGACATTATGCAATTGGCTTTGGATGTCTTACAATGTAAGTGTATTTTGTTTTTTAATGTATTATCTGAGTTATTTTCAGTATTATATCTTTTATGTTTTTTGCAGATATACTGCTGGCTGGTTGTTTTGTCAATGTACAAAATTTTTGCAAAGCTGCAATCTCCAAACATAGAACTTTTGTGGCCTTAAAAGAAAGCACAATGTACGAAAACAATATGTACACATCTATTGCGACCAAAGTAAGAAAGAATCTCTATTTCCATTTACTTGTAAAACGTAACTTTATGTAAGAACACATGAACTTGTTAAGAATCACACAAAGTTCTCCAGTCGTTTTAATATACACTCGAAAAATTTCAACAGTCTAAAAAAGCAAAATTCATCTTTTTATCGATATTATATTTTAATTTTTACAATTAGCCTTAAAAATTTTTATATATTTTTAATATAATATGTTTTTATATATAAATAGTATTTATCTTTAATAACGTTTTTAGAAATTTTAAAATAGACTTTAGACTGGGACAAATCTAATTATACTTTTATATTTGTTACGTTCATATAATATTCAATTAACATTGATCATGTCATGGAGCTTTTCTACTTAAGTTTGAATAGTGTACAATTTGTTAGTCGATGAGATTGTTTATTTCATAACGGAAGACTGAGAAAGGCCTTTTAAAACATCCGTCCAAATCACCGCATAAGCATAAAAAGCTTAGAATCTCGTTGAATAAGCAAATCAAAATAATAATAATATAATAATATTATTACGTTAATTAAAAATTTGTGTTAGGCCTTTTACATGGCCACTTATTCTGAGCATTTTGTATAGATTATACAATTTTTCTATAAATTATTTTTTCTACATAATTAGTCTACTACTATACTTATAAATCCTTACTCGATGTATAAGAGCGTCTATTTATATTATACAAGCAATTTATATTAAAAATAAATAAATATTCTATTATTATTATTATCTTCCATTACAAATACGTGTAACTCTTTACATTTATCTATTTTCCTTTCCTGATACACAAATTGTCTTATTTGTACGACATAAAATAATACTTGAAAAATCTTTAATTGCAAATATATGTTTTTTGCTGGCAGAAATTTATAAAAAGAGAATAACTAACAATGATTGTACTAACAGCTCTTATATTCCTTATGCTATATCAACTATACAGTAGATGGCATGACGATTCACTTTATTCGGGTAAAAGAAATTTATCTACAAATGGTATTCTCTCTCATTCAAATATTAAGTATATCTTATAAAATGATGAAATTTTATAGCAGGAAAATTCTTATAATTTTATAAGCTTTTACAATATAATAATAATTGATATAATAATTATTATATGATATTTTTAAATCACCTATCTCTCTCTCTTTTCTCATGATAATTTATCATTATTTAATATTTCTATGTTCTACAGAAAAAAACAAAGAGTCGTTAGAGCTTTATTTAACATTAATATATTATTTATGTTGCTCAATTGTGAAAATTTAATGTAGAAGTTGTGGGAATTCACCAGCAGTATGTCTATGACTATAATTATAAATCGGGATATTTAATATATTATAAGAGACAATTATAAGAGACTTCAACGCGCATATACTCTCTAAATTCTTTGGAGTAGGGTTTCGTTCTTTTGGAGTAAAAGTCACTTTAAAAAATTTAGAAAGAGTGTATAGAATATATCAAATTCCGTGCATTTTTAACAATATATAGGCTTGAAAAGTCGTATAACATATGTACAGTTTCAATTTAGAATTGTTTCAAGACCTATAAATAATGCATAGTTTGCTTTATAACTAATAATTGTAAAATTTATATAAAAATATTATTAAGCACCAAGACTCGCTTTGATCAAATATAAATTATATATTATATTCTGTTTTTTTTTCCCTTATTTGTGTTCGAACAACATTTTACATACTAAATGTAGAATTTGTTGTAAATTATGATCTTTTCTAATTTTTAGTTTAATGAATTTTTTGT